AGAAGGTAAACAAAGGGTTAGGTTAAGGGTTATATAAGGCGTCCATTAACCCAGACTGGATTTAAATGGCTATAAGGTGGTCCCAGCATTAAGAGATTTAGTTAAGATTACTAAGGTAACCAACAGCGTATTAACACTTCGGGATGTCCAAAGAACCAAAAGCAAGTTAAACCACCTTGTCTGCTTTCTCAGATCCTGAGATCATCTCATCGTTTGATTGATCGATTGTACCTCCGGTACAATCGAGCAATCCTCGAAGCCTTATGATCGTTGGGGTTCCTCAAGCAGCCGTTGGGGGCATTGAGCCAACCGGGTTGAGTTACCTGCTGGTTAGCCCAGATTAAGTAGAATGTACTTAACCATTCTGGCCTATTGCCGAAGGCAATAAGGGCATCACTAACCTTAAGGCAGTTCCAGCATATAGGCTATGCTACCCTTTAGCTTTTGCTCTAAAGGGCGTCCCTTTTGTTTTACTTTGACTTGTGTTATCATCACTGTTGTTATCATCACTGTTGTTATCATCACGGCTCTCTCCACTCTAGATCAGGGCGGTGGCTTTTGGTGCCCTGTCCCGTCATGCGATCTTAGATCGCATGCTGCTGATGATGCGTTCAGCATCAGCATCCTCTTCGGACTCCGTTATCCGAGGGGATCCGAGCCCTACGGCGAGCGGCCGTAGGCAACGTTGTCGCATGTTTGCCGACGGCAAACAGGAGCAGCACACCACCCCTAAGAGCGAAAGAACCATCATCTTGAATAAGAAAGGCCAAATCATTGCAGTAAAAAACTCGCAACTGGGAACAATCTTAACTCCCTTTAAATAGAAAAGGTTGCGCAGCTCGGTAAAACAAGGCAAACAGCGAGTTCGAAATTCCCGTAGGTTTTACCAGTACGTTTATCCAGCCGTTCACGAAATCTAGGGGCTGAACCACAGTAAGCAGCAAAAGCAAAGTAGGCATAAACATGAAAAAAGTACCCCCTCGTGTATAAGAGACTGAGAATAACAAAAGCGGGCATTTTGTTTTATTAAGGTCAATATACGGCATCCGCCAGTGTGAACCCTAATACAGGAGTACCGATAAAAATAGGAGGAAGGCTACAAAGTAGAAGTACCGAATCCCCGAGAGGTTGACTAAGGCCACAGAAGAGAACCGTAATGATGATAAAATCCCCTTAAAACCAAAAGATGTTGGTACAACAAAAGGTCACCACCTCCCGCAGGCTCATAGAAGCACGTGTTAAAGTTACGGTCCGTGAGTAGCCATTTATGTTAATAAAGAGTGTTTTTAATACTCTTCCTTACTTTCACAAGTAAGATCAGACTATGTTATCAACTTAATTTAAGTTGATGGGTACTCGTGTCGGGATTATTGTTGGCATTACTCACCCGTTAGTCGTTGAACGTCCTTATTCCAAGGCAACTTATCAAAGTAGTGCCTCTGCCGAAATAAGTTTCGCTGCAAGTTGACTCCTTAGAGTTGTTCTTGCAATTCACCCATTTTTTCCATAGATTCTCACAAATCT